TGGTGGTTGGATTAGAACCATACTTGCGGTGCATCCCGTGCGTGGGGTCGCGGCACATGCGGCGCAGAGTGCACACGCATGTGATGTGGCGCATCCCCGAAATAGGGGTCAGTAAAAAAATTCGGAAAGGGTAGGGTGTGATGACCAAACACGCCCCCTCCCTTCTAAAAATTCAGAGTGCAAACGAAAAAAAATTGGGGCCACGTTAAGCCTAAAAACTGCGTATGCATGTTCCATTTTCCAATCTCTTTTGCGAAAGACCCTTGCAGAAAACTGGCAAGAGTTCATCATGAAGCAGAGATGGTCGTTGAAGTTTGACCAGGGCGTGGGCAGGCCGAATATATGCTCTGGATTTGAATTCAGGTCTGTGGAACAGTTATGGGTTACTAACTTCGCTAGGCCAAATCACTGCACGCGATTTTCTTTTTTTTGTTGTTCTTTTCTGAGGAATAGGTGGAGTGGCCCTAAATCTCGGTCCACTACTCACTACATGCACAAAAAATAAAACATATGGCGGCATATGGTTCCATGTTCTAGCAGAATGTTCATTCTAGTTTTGCACATGCAGTGAGAAGCTCTGAGAATCACGTGCAGAGCCCAACAGGGCCTGGCTAAGTTAGCAACCCATACTGCTTAAACATAGACCTGAATTCGAATTCACACTATATATTCATGGCCCGTTCTTGCTTCTGCAAATACGGTGCCCACCCCAGCTTGGTGATAGCACCTTCGCTTACTTAGTGGAGGGACCACACAGATTCCTTGCAGTGACCTTCCTTTTTACGTGAAAGAGGGCTTTTGCCTGCATTCTCTCTCTCTCTCTCTCTCTCTCTCTCTCTCTCTCTCTCTCTCTCTCTCTCTCTCTCTCTCTCTCTCTCTCTCCTATACAGACACCCCACATAAAAAAAAAAAATGCGCGCATCATTTGCGCAAGGCGCATCGCGCACCGCAAGTATGATTAGAACCTTTATTGTGAGGAGTAGGAGGGTACTCATTGGATTGATGATCTCTCTCTCTCTCTCTCTCTCTCTCTCTCTCTCTCTCTCTCTCACCTCTTTGTCCTGCAATGTGTAGAGCTGCAAAATTGGATGGAACCCATCCTCGGAGCATCGTCCATAATACCCCTTGCATATATGCGTTATTCCCTCATATTTGGGATGTTGGAATGGATTGAGCCTTTTTTGCTGCTCCTGGTACTTGATAGTGTCACCCCATGATGGCAAGTTCCAGCCCAGTGACTCTGGATCCATATTAGCCACAAGTTCTGATGGCTATTTCCAGCATGGGCGGAGGATATCAATGGCTATTTCCACCATGGGCAGCTTCAACTCCAGTGACCCCATACGTTCTATGCATCCATGTTCTATGGCTCCAATGGCTATGTCCAGCATGGCGCAAAGTTCCGTCCTCCAATGGGGTCCTTCCACATCCTGCACCCATCGAGCACACACTCAAGAGACAAGTTAATGAATATATGTATGCATACATATATGTATGTATACGCATACACATGGTGATATACACATGTACGTAATGGTTTCAGTGTGTTCGTCATGTTTGTCTTGGGTATTTACATTGATTGTTTTGCAAATTGTGCTCTTTTAGTTCACACACACACACACACACACACACACACACACACACACACAYACASAGAGAGAGAGAGAGAGAGAGAGAGAGAGAGAGAGAGAGAGAGAGAGAGAGAGAGAGAGAGAGAGAACGAAACAAAAGAGATTACCCTTTCAAGCATTGACAAGTTGACATAAACGAGGGAAGCATAAAATAAACAAGGAAAGATGAAGATACCAAAGGTTTAGGTTTTCACAATTGGCAAGAGGGAAACCCTAACCCTTTGCGATCCTCATTTTCACAAGGATGGAGATTGAATGCTAATGGCTGGAAATCGAGGGTCTTACCACAACAATTAATGAAAAGAAGCAAACTGCACGTCAATGGAAAAAACGAAAGTTATAAAGTACCAGAAGTAACAGCAAAATCCTAGAATGTAACTAGATTAGCCTCAAACCTTGAAAACATAGAGAAATGGAAAAATAGTTATTTGGAATGTTCTAGGGTGGTAGAGTCAAGATCATCCAGATATTGTTTGTCTTCAAGAAACACAATTAGGAAATAACCCACTACACCAAACTATCAGGGGGGAGATTATTCAAAAGTCAAATTATGTTAGGGTAGAGCCCTTCGGGCGAGTGCTCTATCATCAGGGTCAGCGGGAACTATGCTTCGTTACATTTAACTGCAAGTCAAGAACAGAAGACAATGCACATTGGGTTACAGTTGAAGGTCAATGGGTCGATGCTCCATGCCATCGAAAAAAAACAATATACAACATCGATGTTCAACGCTACTGGAAAGAAGAACATACAACATCGAGAACATAAAACATTGATGTTCAATGTCATTGGAAAGAAGAACATACAACATTGAGAACATAAAAAGTTGATGTTCAATGCCATTGGAACGAAGAATATACCACAGTAACGAACATACATAGCCCAAATCCTTCTAACTAATGATTAATCAATTGGCACGAGTTCCAAGACATGTAGTTATCGTAAAAGATTGCAATGTGGTGGACAATTACAATCCATATAGAATCATGCACGCAACACACCTTGAGGCTTGGTCCATTAAGAACTCTTAGGAAAACTTATCGTACAAAATATTTAATCCAGTGCATCCTTTGAAAATATAACTTGGTCATTAAATGATATATTAACTTATAGAATGTGTATTATAGCATCAAAAAAAGAAGCATCATGGAACGTTCTTTCCAAGGATTGATTTCCATTGCTTTTTAAAATCTTTGATAGGTACACAAATGTTGCTTTGAAGACCGGAAGACTTGTATAAAAAGACTTGCAGTAAGATAGAAAGAACAGAGAAGAAAAAATGAGTAACAACATAATAAAATAGGTGAATAAAACCTTGCCAAGAATCCATATTTTGATCTATACAGTCCTTTTTTTTAATCAACTGGGGTTGAGCTAGCAGGATTACATAAATGGAGAACTAGAGAGGTAGGAAACTTAAGAGCAAGAATTTGAGACTAGAAGGACAATGAATTACCGTCACTTAATACAAATTTTATCTTCAGAAGATCAAAACCTGAAATCCAATTCTCAAAATTTGTTCATTCGGAAAGTTCGGAGATTAAAGAACAATCAAGGAGTATTGACCTCGTGTACAGAAGCATTGCTTTCTAGGGTATCAAAATTATTTTTAAACCATTTTATGAGTAAGATATGCGGGCCTATTTCAAAGGAAGTAAAGTGAGAGAGAGACGAATCAATCCTTCTCCCAGGTCTAGGGTTTCTTGAAGAACCACAACCAATTAAATCCTAGAAGACAACGAGCAAAAATGGATTTCTGACAGAATTCAGGATAACCTGTTGATCACAATCGGGTCAATGCTTTGTAGGTTTTTCGCATTGAGCATTGGAAAAGAAAGGGCTAGGAGCATATCTTAGTACAAGAATTATCACCCTGGCCTGTTACAAAGAAGATAGAGACATGTAAAAATTTGTACACTTCAATGTAAGAAATTATAAACCTATCTTGCTTCTAACAATAACAAACAAAAAATCATCAAAAGGGTTTGCCAACAAAATTAGATTCATGACAAATAAATGCTTGCACTTAGATCAAATATGGTTTATGATCGTTTATCCCTAGAAGATTCATTAGAGATACTATAATGACATTGAATGAGCCGCCTCGATTATGTAAAATCATAGTCGTTCCTTTCGGTTTCTAAAATAACGGAATGGTAGCGGTTGCGCTCCTTTGTGGTATAAAATCTCTAAGCATACGCAACTAAGCACAATTTCAAAGGCATGAAGCATTGCAAAAAAGGTCAAAAGCAGCCTACGAGGAAGTAGCATGTACAATTTCTTGGAAAAACTTGGAACAATGATCTCTTCTCAAAACTACCCTTTCAAAAGATATAAAAATGCTTATTTTTATAAATACAAAATCATTTCAAAATTTTTGAACACCTTTGTGGGTTTCAAGTTACTCAACCAAGTGCTTTCTCCCGCCCCTTCATGATAGGGTCGAGAATAAAAAAAGTGTTAATTTCCAGAAGGTTAACTAGGACTTTCTAGACGAGAGCATGGAAAGAAAGGAATACATCCTTTCAAAAATTAGTTAGAGACTAATTTAGACTATTACATAATGATGCTCATGGCATAGTTCAAGGAATGATATTCTATCGCACCACTATAAAATGGCTAGGACAAGGTGACCTCATGGCAGCATATACGTTCCCTTTCATAATGGACTCAAATGGAGGCGCAATTGCATCATTTCTAAGGAAGGATCCTTCAATAGAAAGAGTATTAATCTACATTACCCAACGTATATGTACGAGGCTTTTTCATACAAAATGAACAGATAATATATGTACGGGATCTGTACTAGACCCTATACGTCATCTAGTAGGTTTTGTACTCCAACGTACAAAAAAAAGTGAGCACCGACTGCATGTTTTTATTAGAATATGAGGGGAGAAAATAAAAACAAATCCAGGTAAAAAAAAAAGAGATTTGCTGCAATAGCAATATGCATAGGTGCTTCAGTTTTGGGGAGACAACAAAGCATTATTGGTCAAATTACCTACTGCTGCGGCATGACACACACACAAACATACACACAAATCAGTCTGGCACAATCATCAAACTGATTCGTGTGTGTGTGTGTGTGTGTGTGTGTGTGTGGCGTTGTGTGTGTGTGTGTGT